AACTTATTGAGCACTAACAAAATAATCAAATATACAACTGTAATTAATATTACCAAATCACAAATCAATATATAGAGCCGGGATCTTTTTTAAAGGACTTTTTAACAAATGGAAAAGACACCTTTTGGCATGACATCACGGTGAAAGAATCCAGCTTTAGGCCCCCTAATAATTAAAACTCTTTGCGAGGTCGTCCTCGAGCCGGTTACCCTGGTTGCCAGAGGTTCTGTATCTTTCGCCTTATTCCCGCTCGTATATTTATTTTACGCAAGGCGAAGAGAACCTCTGGTGGCACGCGATACAAATCTCTCTTCCTTTGGTACAAAATTTGTACCAAGCACATGATTGGTTAGTTATAATTAGCAGTCACATGAAGTGATGTGATTGGCTAGACAAAAAAACCTGTTTATAAATCTCAGAGACATGATGTAAACAAAATACAGAAATAATACGAACGTATTAAAATGCTTTACTGAGTGTGGGTTATTTGAGTTTAACTTAGTTTGTTCCGCTATAAAAAGACTTTCTGCGCTGGAGAAGAGCTGCAGTGCCATCGCGGCATGATTTGAGTCGACGGCATGACAGTTCACTCCATTACAGTAGTAATATTTGTAAAATATAAAGTTTCGGTCACTTGCTTTATATCGTTCAAGGTTTTAAATTTTGGCAATTCTTTGACTTTAATAGTTATTAATATGATTTATTTTGCCAATATTTTTCCGTTGTCTGTTAAGGACAACCATACTGGCTCCGTTGCACACGTATATATAAATATTTACATATGTTTATATTCTTTCACTTTTGACGCTATAAATAGACTTAATACAAACGGCATTCCACAGTCAGCAAGGTTGCTTTTTGCTTTGTGCGTTGCGAGAATATAAGAATATTAATCTACATGTTTCTAATGAATAATCTACATGTTTCTAATGAATAATCTACATGTTTCGGCTGCTTACAGTATTTTTAGTATTTTAGACAAGGCTGTCTGAAGAGAGCTATTTTGGTAGTATGACAAACCCGGAAGTTTAAAAACGTCACAAAATATAAAACCGGTTTTGCAAGTTCTCAAACGGCAACGTCAGCATGGAAGAGAGATTTGTATCGCGTGCTACCAGAGGTTCTCTTCGCCTCGCGTAAAATAAATATACGACCGGGAATAAGGCGAAAGATACAGAACCTCTGGCAACCAGGGTACGAGCCGGTTGACGCGGCTAGAAATTTCATATCTTCGGATCAGTACATGCTATGCCTATGAAGACAGAAATACCACCATTCGATTCAGAAATAAAAGATCAATTAATTCCAAACGATAGTTATAGTCATTATTAACATTGTAGCGATTTATGGGAGTTTGAAAGTCAAATGCGATCGTATACTATCAAATTACTTCGAGCCTCGAGCTCACAGCCGGAGAAGAAATGGAAATACCGTGATAAAAGATGCAAATTTGAAGATACAGGCTTGCAAATAACACTCTAAATAGTGTTTTTGATGGGGATTCGAACAAGGCTATTACAAAGACGATATATTTGAAGGGGTCGAAGTTATTTTCGGCGAAAGGTATGGCTAGTCTATATTTTTGTTCAGACAATCGCGTGAGCTACCCAACCGGAAATACGACTAAAAAAACGTCAAAACAATGCGACGTTTGCATCGTATGACCTTGCAAATGGCCTATGTTTTTTTACAAAAAGCGTGTGCACTATTTATGTGAGAACATAGGCGTACCGGGCGGGGGGGGGGCAGTTTTTTGGGCAGTCGGGCAATATTCAATCAACAGTCGGGCAATTTTGGTTTGTAATAAAAAAAAAGGGACAAATTCTGTCAATTTTGTCTAAAATGAAGTCAATTTTTTGGAAAATTTTGTGATTTTTCGAAAATTTGTGTTATGTTCCGTAAGCGACTGTAAACAGTGTGAATTAGACCTAAATGCTTTCAGCCAATCGTACAGCTTTAGCAAAGGTAGTTTTATAGGCCTGGGCTTGTTTACTTGAAGAAATAAACGCTTTTGACGAGCTCTTTGGTTATTTATTGAACTACATGACTCGACGCTGATTATAATATTATATTAACATACGGTTATTCCGGTCAAATAGGGGTTACGAAAAAATTCGTTAAAAATTCAATTCTAAGTTGCCCAAAAATTTTATTTGATCAATAGCAAGGGAAAACATATTTCTTTGATCTGGTTATGAATTTTTTGTCTGAATCGATGTAACAATGGAGATATTCGCTGCCTAATATGGCATATAATAAAGAGGTTCGAAAATAAAAAACATTAAGAAAATCTGTAAAATATTCACTTTTTACAGAAATGTCTCTAAATTTCGTCTGCTAATCAATAAATATCTCTAATTTATAAAACGAAACCATGTTTTGTGAAATATTCCCATTAACGCGCAAAATAGAGCGATTTTGGTAGTGCCGTAAAATGACCTCTAAAAATCGAAAGTGGCCTGGGAAAACCAATTTCGACGTCTCTCTCCTTCAATATTTATCCGATCGAAATAAAACTTTCACAACATTAATACTTCATATAGGCCTATATTCTGACAAAGTTTGAACGAGTTTGAATTTTCTCATTTTACACGTCTTACCTGACTATTACAGACAACCGCTCTTAAAAGGTCTTAAAACTGTTTATTCTACCGATAAATAAAGGGGTTTTTATTGACTGGGATTTCAATAACTGGGACTGGGACTTCTACTAAAAATCCAACTGGGACTGGGATTTTGCCAAAATTTCAGGTGGGAAATGGGATCAGGACCCCTTCAGGACCCTCTACATAGATTTATATAATTGTATATATGCACGGCTCTCATGCAGGAAGAGCATTATCTATGTAATGATGAGATTTCCGTGTTGAAATAAAGTTATACATACATACATACATATATACTCCAAAAAAACGATATATCAGATTGTGTGTGCGATAAGGCGCTATCTGGTGGAAAATGGAAAGCCGAAGCGAATATATTAGACGGTTAACATTACTGGTAAGTTGCGGTATTATTGCTGTAGTGTTTAAAGCGCTGTTTATTATGCTAGATGGTAAAAAATCGTAATTTTCCTTTCATTTATGTAGCTTTGAAACGTTCAGAAAAAGTGTTAGATGTAAAGTGTAGTTAGAAAACATTTCTAAATACAGCTTACTGTATTTAGAAAGAATTCTAAACATAGCAATTAAATATATTTGAATAATCTTTTGTTTACCCCTCAATTTCCCCATTGTTCAAAGCAATTCCCACTTGAAGTAATTAAAAGGGACCTTAAGCAAACAGGACGGGAACGCGACGACGACGGCTATTCACACAATGGTATTCCTGATCTCGTACAAAAGAAATGAATAATTAAAAGCCCCACTGGAGTTAGAGACGTTGTGTTAGGGCTTTTTACAACGGCAATCCACAGATTTTCACGTCTTGTGTACAACGCAAACATGTCAAGACGCGACAAGTGAAACTACAAATTTGCTCAGCAGACGCGTTTTTAACCATAAAGCCTTTGTTTTAATCTCTTTAAACTGAACTCAATTCATATATACATGCAGTGGATAATACACAACAATTACTCTTCTTCGCAATAATTTATTTGATTTGGCTGTCGTCGTCGCGTTGCCGTCGTACATGCTTAAGGTCCCTATATAAAGTCCTGGTCTAGACGGGGTATCCAGATAGATACACGTGATGTAAATTACACCATGTCATTGGCCGAAATGCTATGAATATCTAATGATGTGTGAGAACCTCACTTCGCTTTCCGAATGAAATTAGTAAAATACAGCTTGGACTGCAAAGCTTCGACCTTGACGGAAATGAATTAGCAGCGCGATAAATTTGCAATGATGGAAATATGTGCATAATCTTCCATTTGTACAAACTGCAAACAAATTTTGAGTATATTTGATAAATAGTGTATTAATATAAATTAACTATAAATAGTGTATTAACATACTTAATTTAACAATTATAAACTATAAAACTTGTAAAATATTGCTGTGCTGCATGATCACTCAGTATACATTCTCTGGTTACACTGTCCATTTGAAAACAATGGCGGCTGTTATTTGAGGCACACTAGCCCATCCATAGAGATTATAAATAACACAAGAGGGGGTATCGAGGTTAAAATTTGGGAACGCGGCTAATGGGGGGCAAATTTAGGTACAGGATATAAAATCATGCTCTCATTGGCTAAATTGAAACTCTTCACCCATGGGAACATGTGTACACATCCGGGACTTGAATTTGCCCTACAATAGACGTATTCCTTTTTTGCCTGATGTCAAGATTGCGATGCCTCCTCTAGTGTTATTTATAATCTCTATGAGTCCATTAACATAAACGGTTGGTACCGGTGTAAACTCAAATGTCACAGATGAATAACACTTAATTCTAGTGATTACTCTTTAATTTGATGCTAAAAAGCCAGTAACTTCTAGAATTGAAACAGTAAGTTGAGAGATTGCATGTTAACTATATTTTCTAACGATATTGCAGTCATATTTATTCAATAGTCTGCATTTTATACCAAGTAAATGCATTTTAATTATATTATTTTAATCTGCATGCGATTTGAAGTCTGCAGTTAGTCCGATAAGTCCGACTGCTGAATATTGTACATACTCAGTGTATATTTAACAATTATAGTCACCGAAGGGGAGGTGATTACAAGCCAGGCTTTATATTCACTGATCTGCGAAGCAGCGATATGAATTAATATGAATATAGTCTTGTGATCACCGAGCGTGAGGTGACTTAGTAATTAGTATAAATTCAGACTGAAAAATAATAATATATACGAACGTTATAAATATAATTTACTTCACTCTTCCGCTTTTGAGTCAAACGAATCCAGCTGTCGGAACCTTGTCGCCCGATTCTGTTATTTTTCGGTTTTAAGTGCCAAATAAATTGCTTTAGGCATCTAAAAGGTGCTTTCGTCTTTTGGCAATAGGTTAAAATCATATATTGTTGCTCTGAGTAGTAACTATTGCCTCAGAGTTACTGCTGAGGGTGCCAATCAGAACGCTTGAAAGCAATTTTTCAATACTGAATTTATACTAAGTAGTATTACTCCATGGTGTTATTCCTTCCTGTAGTGTTACTTACCAGTAAAAGATTTGAAAGTTGGCCTATTAAGGACATTTCGATCAACGTAAGAGAATAGTGGCGAATAAGCTCTGTCTGTGTCAGATGATGCATCATAAATACGTCCCTGAAGACTGACTCGATAATGGCGATTAAGGAATACACGATTCTTGTCCTGAGACCAGATTTTATTGCATACGTTGTTAAAGTCCACAGTGCTATGTGAAAAAGACAAGTACACTTTAATTATAACCTTTTTATATGACCATTAATGCCATACGATGCCGTCTTTGTACGAGGAATTATCACCTCAGGCTAGTGGTGCTATATATAGAGGATATTACACGGCGGCACGAAGATATGACTTTTATCTTCGAGTAGTGAAAACGATATTGTACGAACGAGCGCAGCGAGTGAGTAAAATATGGTTTTTAACACGAGAAGATAAAAGTCATATCTTCAAGCCACTGTATAATGTTCTGTTTATTATATAGTGTAGTTCCAAGCAAAAAATTGTGAAATTTCATGCTGAAAAGCAAATTGGAAAAAGTCACGTGATCGATATCTTCGCTAGTGAAGATAAGGTAAATATCTCACTGTGTATTTTTCAGTATCTCACTCTCTACTATATCATCAGTAAATATAAGTGAATGAAGCATCAGCGTGGCCTAAGCGAACGTCGAGCAGGGGAAGCGAGCTGAGTCGATCCGCATGGGAAAATG